CTTGAGGCTGAGGAAGAGTGAAATCAAGACAAGAGGACCAGAGAGTCCTACACAGAGGCCTTGAAGGCCAGGCAAAGGATTCTAGATTTGATGTAGTTGGCAACAGGGAGCCACAGTAGATCTTGAACCAAGAGAGGAACACGGTCTTATTTTAGGAAGATCATCAGTGTGATAATGGACTAGATAAAGGTAGATCAGGAGAAAACTACCTTAATCTAGGCTGAGATAAGGAAATCCTGAACACAACTGGTAGCTGTTGCAAAGGAGAGGCAAGGACAAGTAGGATACTTTTTATAGGAATAGAAGGAGCTAAATTTGCTCTGAATAGTTGAGGACGTGAAGTAAAGCTCATTAAAAAGGCAAATATAGTGAATAAGAAGGCTGAACCCATGATTTACCATCCAAATAAGGACCCTGCTCAGACTGAAATGGGGCATTGCCAATTACCAGGCCAGAACAGCAGATTGCCAGTCTTGGGCAAATCAGGATTTCTGACCATCCTACCTGAAAAGAGCTTTAACTGCCAACATAGAGGAGGACGCAGATTCACACAATCAATTTGATCTCCAACTCTAGCCCCAAGTTTCTGGAAGTTAAGGACATTAAAATGAAGCCACCATCCAGGGATAAGAATAAAAAGCTGCTGTTGAGACACATAGGGGAATAACCAGAGAGGTAAGGTGGAAAATACAAGGCCTCTGAAATTCAGTCTATGCTACTGAGTCACTGGATTTCTCAGTTATCTTTTCAATAGGTCACATCCCAATTGGGAACCTCCTTGCTTATAGCATTTCAAGGACCAAATGGCTTTAAAACAACCACTACCACCCATTTCCTTCAAGTCTTCAATCTCCAGATCCTATGTCCATGAAGGACTAGTGAAGTTGACAAGTTACTAGGGTGGGGGGTGGCAGTGGGGACAACAGGGTTGGGGCTGGGTGTGTGGGTATAGCATGGACCCTAAGCAGAATGCACCAGCTGGCTAGTGGGCTGGAACCAGTCCTGCACACATGTACCTATGGTCATGGGAAAGATACTTAGTCCTTGAAGCTGCTCCCCTAAGAGGGGAAATAACCACACAGAGACAGGTGTCTTCCAAATGGGCAGGGCAGAATGAGGAAGGAGTGTGTGAGGTCTTGGCAGGCAGATCAATACCAGTGGGTTCAAGATTTCGGCAGCAGGACATATGCTCTCTCCTCCCCAGCTGAGCTATAGCAGGGCTGGGGGACCAGAAATAGGCAAGGCCTGGAAGAGATTTCTATTCCTCCCTTCTCGGTTCAGAGATTACTTCAATACTTATAGTCTGATCATCCCATACAACATTTATACATTGTCTACTAGGGTGGTGTGTGGGGCTATTTTCTTTACTAAACTGAAGACCATCAGCATGGACTCTGTTGGTCACGGTTCTTGGCACAGGGTATTACTTGAATGAAGGCACACATCCATGGCTACTTTCTGTGCTTTGTAGTGACCACCTAAAATTCCTTCATCTTCCATTTCCTATCCCTTATTAGAAAAGCAGGTAGACATCAGTGACTCCTCACCCTACATAAGAACCACAACTAAACCTTCAGTTTTATCTACATAATCCACACCTTATCCTGAAACTAGCAGTTCCCCAAACAAGGTTAAACCTTCAGTTTTCCTTAAGAGCAGTTCTTTCCCGCTCCCTCCCCCCCTCCCCCGTATCTAGACAGGGGATAGTGTGAAATAGAGCTTGTCAGGTCACACCCAGCTGGGTTAGAATCCGATCTCTGCTCGTATAGTGACTTTGGGTTAGTTAGCTCTGAACTTGGGTTTTACCCAGTCTGTACCTCATTTAGCTTATCTGGAAAACAGGGATACCCAGAATTATGTGAGGTTGTTCAGAAATTTTTAAAAACAGTTGATATCAAGTATTGGGAAGTATTAGCTACTTTATCATCCTGTTAGGGTCAAGAACCATACAATAACCTCCTATTGCATTCAATCCTCACAATTTGAGGAAGGTTCTCAGATTATCTCCATTATCCCAGATAAGGAAATGGAGGGTCAGAGAGGTTAAGGAGCTTGCTCCCAGGTAACAGAGCTAACAGTGGCAAAGCACAAATGGAAACCCAGGCAGTTGAACTTCTGGACTTTCAAACGTTATGCTCACTGACTGGCACGAAGAAGATACTGTAGTTCTTAAAATCATACCCACTTTGATTTTACACCACTTCCAGAATTTGTTTCATGGCCTTAGAGTATACACACACATGCACACAGATTTCAGGTGATGCAGAAGATCCTGGTTTTTTTGCTTCAGATATAATCACAGAACCATTAAGTCTGCTTCCAGGAATTCATGGCAAGGAAAAAAAAAAAAAAAAAGCAGTGTTGCTTGTGTAGGGATCCCACTGACTGGCGTTAAACACAGAAATGTTGGACTATGGATTTGTAATCCCTGAAGCCTTCTGACAGTATCCATCAATACCGTTTGAAATTTTTGTGTAGTTGGCTTCATTTTTCTATGTATTTTTAAGATTCTCTTGTAAATATGTAATACAGCTCTCTAAAAAGGTATTAACTTTTGTCAAGTTTTCCTGGTCTAATTCCTCCCCCACCCCCAGATGATTCAATTTGCCACTTACTAAGCATTATACAATTGGCATTACACAACTGTTAATAGTTTATGTAGAAAGAGGACTGAGCTCATTAGCTGCACTCAGGAAGCATGCTGGTCTGCCTGGAGTGTTCTGTTTTATTCAGGTAGCGAGTCCCACAAATGATAATTGCTTATTAGACTCAACCAAGACATACAAAAATGGTTTACTAACATTCAAGAAATAGGGTTGCTTCAGGGGTGCCTAGGTAGCACAGTTGGTTAAGCATCCGACTCTTGATCTCAGCTCGTCATGATCTCACAATTTGGGAGTTTGAGCCCCTCATAGGGGCTTAACTATTGCACCAGATCATCC